GTCTTTATTTTACAGCTAAAATATATGTTTATCAAATAAAGTCTAATGTTACAACTAATCGGGGATCACTTTAAAGTACCTGTGACATTTTTTTGTAAAAAATGTGAATATGTTTTTGAAAGGTAAAATAAAAAAATAAAAAAAGTCTCACGGCAGACATAAACAGATACGAAATAAAAAAGAACTCATCCAGAGGACCTACTCAATATTTTTTCTACCTGGCATATTGAGCTGCACCAGGACAGTTGTTGGTCCTGTCCCAGTGCTGGCCGTGTCCCAGTACTCTCACTTCCACCCTCGTTCCGCCCTCGTGCACTTCACTTGTTGAAGGGTTTGAGTGTGTCCCACATTCTCCACATCCGCCCTTTGCCCCGCCCATTTTTGGTACTATTTCCGCCCTTTTTACAGACTTCGGCGAAGTGTATTACCCACAATTCATGGCTGTGTGTGATGTTTTGAATTAAAAGGCATGTTCATTAAATCTAAAAGCTCAAATCAACACCAAAATGGATTTAAACATAAATTGCGATTTCACTGTGTTTTATTTATGTAACCTACCACAAGGATTGAAGAAACAGGAGAGAGACCTTCTTTTAATATTACTAACAGGAGCAAAGAAAGCCATAACTCGGAACTGGTTGGATATAGATCCACCATCAACCCTGGACTGGAAAGAGATAACCAAAGAAATATATGTAATGGAAAGATTGACTTTTTCACTGAGACTTGCTGCAGAGAAATGTGAAAAGTATTGGAAGAAATGGAACAACTACATAAATGGGATATCGACTGTATAATCATTGTAATTACCCTCTTTTTTTCATTTTTTAAATTAATTAATTAATTTTTTAATTGAAAGTTTAAACCCAACCTTTATATTTAAAATGCCTGTATGTATAGTATGTAATGTATAGTTCAGAATAATTGTTTAATGGTGGTCTGTGAGCTCTAATATTTGTACTTTCAAAACTGAAAAACAATAAATAGAAAGTAAAAAAAAGTCAGTCTAAAAGCTTTTGTTTAAATGAAACCCAAAACACAGATAAAATTTGCAATTTTAATTCAAAACTTAAGTTTTTCCAAAATAATAATCATAATTTGCCTTACCACAAAATCAACTCCTTCAATCATGAATCTGTTAGAGTTGGAGCTTGACTGACACATGTTCACCATCAGGCTCGTCACACAGGCTGCGTCGCTCTCACACCGTTTACACCACAAACATGTAGCCGGGGACAGACGCTGGTCTTCACGGGGTGGGAGGAGCCTGTCGAGGACGTCCCCGTCCTTGGAACAAAATATGAGCTGAATAAAGTGGTCAAGCAGCTGAATATTTTATGGGCAACCTGGAAGTTAACTCCTCTGTGGTCTGTCGGCTGCAGCCGTCCGATAACTCCATTTGGCCTTTTAAGATGGTTCAGACAGGATGCAAGAAAATAAACCTGACTGATAATATTTAATTTTTTTTGTTACATAATAAATACTAAAGAGCTTGTGAGAAGCTGTTTAACTTTATGTATCTGCAAAGTGCAGCTATCAAGGATGCTCTGAGTGATCTGAAATTATAATAAAACCAATAATAATAATAATAAAAAATGCAAATCTCTTTTAAGATAACACCTTCCTAAAATAATAACCTTAGTCATTATTTAAAAGTTTATTAAAAATGACTAAAAATATGGTATTGGTTTGTTTGTGTTGCTGAAAAACTTTCAGAAATGACAGGCGATTGTTTTAGGATTGTAAGAAAAATTTCATGTTTGTTAAATAAAATCGTGATGAAACCACATAATATTGGAGAGATTAGCATGTGACAATAATATGGACCATACGACCCAGATCTGGTACGAGCGAGCTTTATTGCTTATGCTAAAGCAATCTGAGCAACGCTTGGCTACAACCTGGACTTCCGGTCCTTATATACAGAGTCTTTAGTGCCTGGTGCGCCCCCTGCAGGCCTACGGCTGCATCGCAGGCCACTCGAACAAACAATGCCTTCCCTAATGAATTATGGTAATAACGTTTTTTTTTTTTGATGTGTTGATGATGGGCCTGTACCTAAACTATTTTAATCAGGAGTTAACAATAGTTAAACAATGGATTATAAAAGTTAAAAAGGAAAACTAAGAAAATGGTTTAGTGCTTTTAGCATCAGTATCTAACCTAATAAATTTCTTCAGGATGATGAAATCTGTAAATGTAGTTTTAGGCACATTATTCTATAACAAATAATAAAAAAAAACATGTTTCAT